TTTTCAGTTCAAAATGTCAGAAATATAATTGTTCTTAGATTAACACAGATCAGCCAATAAATTATTAGAAGCAGCAGATTCCCGAGAGCAAAAGGAGGAAGTTTTTATATTCCTGTGAGGAAGGACTCTGGAAAACTTCTGATGGTTGGATGTGAGGAAAAACCCTCAGAACTAAAAATGTAGTTTTTCAGAATAAAAGACTCAGAGTTCAAATAGCAGTTTGGTGTAAATCTTTACTTCTGTACATTCATTGAAAGGAAATGCATCACATGAAGGTGTAGTGTCGATGGGATCAGTGCTCACTGTAACCCTGCAGGTCATTTATACAAACAGGATGAAGCTCCGCCCCCTTTGCGGCTCCTAAATGTCCGGCCGTCTCCTGCAGGAGCCGGAAATAACAGCTAATGATGACATACAATCTTCAAATGAAAACAATCTTGGTCACAATCAGAGAGTGAAGCTCACAGTTTGGCTCCATGTGATTAAATCAGGCTGTAAAGGAACGGTTCGTGCACATCCTGTTAGCGTCGCTGCGATTAGCCCGATCTTTGCTTGAAGCACAGCGCCACGTGTTCAATGTGGTAACCAAGGTAACAAAATTCATTTTTTTTTACTTTGAAAAATGTGAGATAAAAAAAATAAAAGTTTCAATGAAAGGCGCCATCTTTAACTACTTCCCTTAGTGACCACTTGGTGGCAGCAGAGAGCTGTGGAAACAATCCAACAGAAACACGATTTTAACAAACGTAAAGTAGTAGAACTTGATCTAAATCCCGTCAAAATGAGAAAAATTAACGTTGATCTGATTTTCTGCAGCTCAAGACATGGATTTAAGCTTTAAAATCAAATTAAACGTTTTGTTTCAACTTTAAATGTCTTAAAAATGTGGCTTTTCTCTTCTGGTGTGCCACAGGGCTCTCTGCTCGGTTCCTGTCTGAATCATCAGACCAAAGGTGTCCTGCTCCTCTGCAGAGTTTGAGGAAACAGGATGGTGTCCCTCAGGGCTCAGAAGTCGACTCCAGTCGGATCTCAGATGATCGCTTCATCTGAGCCTGAATCTAAATAAACCTCTGAGTTCTGACGATTTCCTGAATAAACGTCGACTATCGGCCTCCTTTATCTAAACGGATCCTCTCAGCCGTCTGATTGGTCGGCGGGTTAATAAACTCAGACTTTCAGGGTTTTAGCTCCTTTAGGGACGTGAGTTCTTCTAAAGATCGGACAGGACCTCGCAGGCCGTTTAAAAACATCGGAACGTGTCGGACCTTCTCCTGTTAGACCTCAGATACCAGCCGACTGGAGACGTTCTTCAGAACTCACTGGTTCTGCTTCCATTTCAATGGAGATTTTTTCTTCAAATCAGTGCATTTGTTCTTGAATTGAGGAGATAAAAGATACATTTTGCCAACGGAACAAGACAATTTACACTTAAAATAGCAAAACACAATTGGATTGTCTTATTTTAAGTTCATATTATCTAATTATCTTAATTTAAGAGTAAAAATACTCATTCCGTTGGCAAACTATCTCATCTATCTTCTCAAATTAAGGGTAAATACATTTAATTTAGGAAATTTTAACTTGTTTCTAGATCATTTTTTTTAGTTTTCTCACAGATTTCCAGAAAAATCAGCACAGATCCAGAACGTCTATCAGTTGGAGGATTCATCAAAGCCAGAACCGGAACCATGAGGGTCTGAAACCTTTGTCAACAACAGCAGAAGGTTTGTTTGGTACAAAACATGGAGGAGGTGCTATAATGCTGTGGGATGTTTGTCAAAATGATGATAAACTCATAAAACCAGCCGGTTCTGACCGGTTTCTGCCATAAAGACCTGAATAAAACTCCTGGTTCTGATTAATCCCTAAACAAACATCGACTTTCAGCCTCGTTTCTCCAATCGGATCCTCTCAGCCGTCTGATTGGTTCCTAAACGCTCCTCTACTCACAGAAAAGCGTCAGACAGAAGTGATGTCAGGGTTAAAAATGGAGCCAGCTTCCTGGAGCAGCCGGCGCCGTGCGGCAGACGCCACTAATGCCTGGTTGGTGGGATGGCGGCGTTATTTCCTGTGGACAGATGCTGCTGGATCATCTGGGAGGAATTAGAGGCTCAGACAGGCGGTTTGTGTTTGTCCAGCTGCTGTTGAGAGGACAGCGTCTGATTGGAGACGCTTTGGACACATTTCAGTTTATAATTCGGCGCTGTGATGTCACCGCCTTTCATCCTGAGCTTTTCCACATTTAAACAGGAGTCAGAAAAACTCAACCAGACTGTTTGTTTAGCAGCTGGACAGATGTTGCTTTAACGCTGATCCAGTTCATGGCCAAACGTTTCTGTGGCGTTAAAGAAGTTCTGTCTGCGTTTAAATGTCTGCTTCACGCTGTCCGTCGGTTCCAGGTTCTGTTCAGTCCAGAGCCAGCAGGGGGGTGCTGGTCTCTCTGTCCATCTGTCGCAGAGCTGCAGCTTCCACCGTCGACTGAGACCTAAAAACACACAGAGACGTCGTTAGTATCGGCCAATCAGAACATGGAGGCCTCTACGCCTGCTTCCTGTCTGCATTTTGTCCTTTTTCATTCTTCTGGGTCAATGTTTTACGTTTTTTT